ATGTTATGTTATGCTATATTATATCATACTGTGTATAGGAAATTTTGATGTCTGTGCGCGTTAAAGATGGAAAACGATCTGTTTTCAGCCTGGGTTCCAAGCGTGACAGGGTTTGGTCACGTGAGTTGAGTGTCTGCGGAACAAAGGTTTGCATGATCTAATGAGCAAGGATGAACCACACGTATTAAGCGAAGCCGCTTGAGGGAAAAAGGAGGTTACCGCCACAAGACGGTTGTCCACGCTCCTTCCAGAACCTAGTTTAAAGCACTATTAGACGTTTATTTATGCGAATCCTCGCGCTCGCAAGCATACTGCCCCGCGCTGAGAACATACAGGGCAGTGCTACACCCTTTTTTCACTTGTGCCTTTCAGGTGAAGGACAGCCACTGACCGACAAGAACAAAACCGATCCGAGAAACCTGGGCAAAAGCCTCGATCCTGTGTATCGATCCGGGATTCCGTATGTATCCAACACCTACTATGGCACTATAACATTTTCTAACTTCCCTAGCGTAATCATAATGATTTACCCAAAAATTCAGAAAAAGATCCGTGAATCCGTATGTATCCAACACCTACTATGGCACTATAACATTTTCTAACTTCCCTAGCGTAATCATAATGATTTACCCAAAAAATTCAGAAAAATTCCCAAATACAATTCCACTACTTCATCCTTTACAGTCATCTTTGGAGTTGGTGAATCCAGTAACCTTATAGGTCGCCGTAATCTACTTACGTGATTCGTTGAAGTTCACTGAAATGAAGGACGTTATTGGACTTTGTGACCTTCATAACGGTGGCTTTTCAACCAGGCGGCATCTGTCTAGTGCTCATGCAAATAATCTACATTGTTCTGCTATCGGGGGTATATTTCTCATTGATTTCTGCAGAAAACACAACCAAATGTGACGCTGACCAAAAACGCTTCGAACAAATCATTCAAAACGGAAAGGCAGTGGACGTAGTATGTTGTGCTCACTTTTGTCAAATATGGGTTCTCAGTTTTATTTCGTGAATGATACGAAGGAGACAATTCAGTTGACATGGGCTGGAGAAAACAGCGGGGTATGTGAAATTCATCTGATTCGATTTATTTATCAGGTTTTGATTTTGGTAACGATGACAGAAGGAGAAACAGGACCGGGTCTAACATCAGACATCTACCGCAGGTAATTTTGGCTGAATCATGTAACTTCGCAGCGAAAATAACGGTAAAACGTTTGCAAAGATCACTCATGAGCTCGGAGAGAAGGTTTACATAAGACGAGAAAATGGATTGCAGCGTCATCAAAACCAGCGCGATTCAAAGGAGGTAGAGTGGCCTTACTAACCTTGAGTTCTGAAGCTATTTGTTGTATGCTACGATATCGATAATAAACAGCATTCCGTGCTATTTGTTACCAAAGATGGTGGTTCCACCTGGGAAAGGTCGGCGGTTCCCTTTCTGTTGAGTGGCCAGCTCCGCTTTTACCCCCGTAGACGTTTGTCACCATGGATACTCACGCTCGAAGAAAGGACATCGGTATTCTCCAATTTTATTCGGTTGACATTTCTAGTAGAGATTGTATCTTTCCCTAGACAATGGAAAGACCTGGTCGAAGACACACGAAAATGTAGTAGATTACTTCTGGTAAGGTGCCATTGCTCACACCCTAACGCTAAGGTCCATATATCGAGATGATCCTGAAGAAACATTCTATGTTCTCCATAAACCTAACCAGTCAAAAAGTGAGTTCCTCTGTATTGAATGTCTTCACTACTTGTTATGCGGTCCAGAAAGCTTAACATGTCCCCTTTTAAGTTTGTGTTCTACAGTAGCTGAACTGAAAAGTTCCTCTTTTCCAATATTTTACCCTCAGCATAAAGACTCTCGTCATAAAAATAATTTGTAATTCACGATTTTGTCCAAAGGGCAACGTGCTCTGGTTATCCGCAATATCTTGAATCTATTTCGGTACCCCTGTTTATTTGAGTCCGTAGACCAAGTCAGTTTTGGAATGTAAAGACTTTGGTTTTCGGAAGATAACTTCGGGCATTGGCGCCGCTAGTTTTGCCTCAATTAGACCTAAGAGGCCGATCCTTTTTTAAAAGCGCCGGTTTTTCCTGTCGGTCTTTGTACTGTGATTTGTGAAGCATGGACGTCACACTCTAACGGTCGGCTTTCTCCTGCATCCTGATTTCGACCTGTTTATCTGTATATTTAGAACAGATCCGTGTATACATTTAGTATAATTGTATGTGATGCTTTTTTTGGCCCAGTTTGTATCTACAACCACTAGCTTCGAAGCTTGTGAATTATACCGTATGGGTGCACATCCTTTACTTTATATTCTTAACCAGTGATCGTGTACACTTTCGGCTGTTAGATTTGTCACAGGATCCGAACACTGGCATAGGTATGAAGTTTGAGTGGAGTGCGACCAGAAGTTGGCGGCAAAATTGGAAAGTATTTTGTATCCAAGTTTATCGCACAAGTACAAGGACGTCAGTAGTTTTTAATGTTAGCTTCATCGGTGAGGATTTCCAAGCGTTGGTCAGAATCGTACTTGAACAGCTTCCGCTCGTATATGGTGCACTGTATCGAAGCCAACCCGTTCAGTCGTACAGCTGTAACACATTTTCGGCACCAAACTGCCACACCACCAGAAGGAAGCACGAGGGCTGGAATACTGCCAGGTCTCCCAAGCCTAGACTGGAGAAGTCGACAGGCGGAGGTCAGGATCTTCAGGACCTTCCGATCACCAAATTTGTGCTCTAAGCATTGGGTCATCTTGCCCAGCCAAACACAGAGAGAGTGTTTCTTCAATGCTAACTAAATTTTAGCTTATCCAACTGCGATCCCTTACCGAAATCATTACAGGATAAGTAGCGCCCGGTTTTCGATAAACCTTTAGCGTTAGCAAACAAATGTCGCGGCGTGGTTGCAGTCGAAATTTGATTTGTCATCCACTGAAAGAATTTCTGATTTCCAAATGAAATATTTCAGCAATGGAATTCATTGTCATTGTCAACAGCATGACATCAGTGTTCCACACTGATGTTTTACTGCCGTACAACCCTGATTTGTTTGAAAGCCTTGTGTTGGAGGAAAAAATAAATGTGGACGGAGGAAGGACTTATCATTGGCATACTACAATCATTCCAAGGTGTATACACTCACTCGGGCAATCTGGATAGAAACTGACAACAAGATCGCCAATGACATCGGTTGGAAGCCATATCTTGTAGTGTATCTAACCAGGCGAAGTAGGAATCATGCGGTCCACTCTTGGAAGGCGAGTAGCACCAACAGCACCCAAAGGTTTCGTTATTTCTTTCATACCCCTCTGCCAGGTCAAGGGCTGGCCACCTATCTTCTTCCGCCACATGAAAAACATCACTCTCTTCGGCATACGATGGTTAGGCATACGCGACACATATCCCAATCAACGCAGCTTCTGATTCCGGACACAAGTTTTAATGGAATTATCCGTTGCACAACCGAAAACTGACTTTCTAATTGCCGAGTTGCGGATACACCAACACTAACCCACACGAGCTGTGGTTCTGAGACGACAATTATCGAACACTTGAAGACGTCTCAGTTCCGCTGCTAGAACAGACCAAGTTTCACATCCATACAACAAAAGAGTCCGCACTGTAGCTTAATGGACACGTCCCTTGAGATTCAGGAATAAACCACTCTGACGCCATAGGTGTCTCAAATTAGCAAACACGACGCAAGTCTTGCAGATTCGTGCATTCACCTCAACTGTCACACTACATTCAGAAGTAATACAACTTCCAGGGTCCGTAAAGCGCTCCACAACTTCCAGCGCTTCTCACTGGATTGTAAGTGAAAAGTGAAAAGTGCATACCAAAGAACGGGACGACTTGGGTCAGTTCATCCAAGGACACCTACGCCTTCCCCTTTCCGAAGATAAGAATGATGTCATCTGCATATTCAAGATCGATAAGCTTTTCGTTACAGGCTACTTGAACACCAGGGTTTTTGTGGACTTTCAACGTTTGTTTCACAATTTTGTCGATCACGAAGTTTAATAGAAATGGTGACAGTGAGCATCCCTGACGGACACCACTCTGTGTGCCGAGGCTTTTTGAGACCTTGCCCTTATTTCATTCCTCCCCTGAAAATGGTCCAGTTTTGCATTCATACAAACGAACCGGTGGTAATGTAGCAGGATACACCGCATCCTTTGTAAGCAAGCTACTGTCACACTGAAATTGCATTGATTGGCATTTGATTTATCAGTGCACTTCCATCAGGATCAGCTGTCTCCTCAAAGAGCTATTATCACAACATGTCTTGATAACTTAGCTTCAGCAGTCATATTGTATAGTATACCTGTTTACTAGTAGTCCAGAATGTTACACGTCGCTTGTCATAAGGGCGTCTTCAGGCTTGCATGTTACCGTTTAGCAGAAGTAAGCATCCTGATGTAATTCGCGTTTATTACTTTGGGAAGTAGCTAAGCTGTCCTGTCAGTTGACAGTCTGCTGACCATTTTCTAGTCACTTTTATCGGGAATTCGAAAGAAATAGCAGCAGATAATTGTTGTGCTACCAATGATTTATACAGGTCGATGGGTATTGAAGCGTGGTGAATGAAGAAATAACATAGATGTTTTGGCAGCAACTTTTTAGACCGTAACACAAGACAGGCCTATGTGTCGAGGGGTTACAGCGATTTTTGGTCGTCTCTACACTGAACAACGTATAAAAGAGCGTCCAGTGGTGAAGACATAACCCGTCTCTCCGCAGTTTGGGAAACAATTTCACAACTATTATAGATGTCTTATGCGTTCCCGACCCCTTTTAGGATAATATATACGAGAAATTCTGAGATGATCGCAATCAGACCAATGTCCTATGGTTTCCACACCCTGTTAAAATATGGCAACAAAACTTAACGGATGCTTTCCCCCAAAAAAGTGTGGTTACTTCAACATTTTATGTGAGAAGCTTGCAATCGTAACTATAGACATCTTTCCGCCCTCTTGTGAAAGTACCGGTGAGAAAACATCTGGTTTGAGTGATTCATTTCTGCTTGAGACCAACGTTTTACACGCATTTTAGTTTTAATAAAAGTTGGCCAGTTTATTTTTCATTCAACACAAGTGAGTGATGCCAACGGCGTTCTCACAACCAGAGAGAAATTGAACTGGTCTCCACGGCATTCCACTCAGTGAAGTTTTTATCACGTACCGCCAAACGGAGGCTATGTAGATAGATGGAACATAATTTATTTCCGAGATGACATATTTATCAAAGGTCTCTTTAATTAAAACGAAATGAAACACTGCCATTTACAGTGACGAAATCACGGTTACATGGCCTTTTTCAAGCCATCAGCATTCACCTGTTGACGAATACCAAAGTAGCTTCGAAGTGGTTCCCTGGTGGAATATTCTTTGTTAGGGGACAAAGGGCTAGGATGTCCATTGACAAAGCTTCTACAAATGGACCCTGATGTCCACTCAATTCATTTCGTTGCGCAGTGCTGTTACAACCGTGTGACAGTTGATAAAAAGTAAACTATGTGGATGTGGCAACAGAGTCATCGGGTAGGTTAGTAACCAGAGTTTTCATAAAACTCTGCGGTAGTCCAATGACTAAAAAACAACGGGTGTTACACTGCCATGTAGTTTTTTCATACGCCACGAGGAGTATTGTTTGGCTCTACCGGATTGGCCGTATGCTTAGAGCATTACTGCTTAATGGGTCACAACTGCATGGAATATATGAGGGCCAGAGTATCAGGACTAAACATACGTTCAACGCGAAGGCGTTGTCAGATGTGATCAGCCTAGGGATTTACCGGCGTTCCTTATAGCTTTGTTCTCCGGACCTCCATTGCTGGAAGTGCATTGGTAAATAGAAACTGTGTAAAGTTAGGAACATAGCTTTTGCTGGCGTTGCATCAGTGGTATGTCCGAACTATGTTGCTCTCGTAGGTTTTAGGAGTGACAAATCAATCAGTAGAAAACGAGTTTTCTGGCCTGCAGGATTAAAGTTTACGGTCACGTGATCTGAAATTCTTCCTATCATCCGACTCGCTTCCGCTACCGTGAACAGTGCGGGAAATTCGGCCTCACGTTCTTTTAAACATGCTCACAGATAGTGCACCATAGTTGAGATGTAGCACTTTGCTTCCCTGTTAGATACAACTGGTCTGGGTGGCTTCTATAAAAGCCAGGTTGGTGCTCGTTCAGGTGTTTTTTTCCTGAAGCCCAAGTTGACGACACGATCGTCATGTCCTTCAGGTGCACGGAAGGAGCTAAAAGACAAGACAAGTTTGTGCTGATATTTGTCGTTCAAAATCACCATTCGCCGGGGGGTGTGCAGTTGATTTAGCTGGCTTTCATAGTCTCTTCGTGTAATGGAAACGCCGGACCTGTAATCACTTCGTCCAGTTTTGCGCTCAATTTCCAGCACACTGTCTGATGCCCACGATTTTCTGCTTTTCTAAATGGGATTTCGAAGCATGTGGTGGATCTCAGCTTAGCAAGGTTGTGGATATAGGCAGCTAGATTTTACTCAACCCCGCACTGGTGATGACACCTCGGTTGGTGATGAAACGCTTGCAATATAACTGCCAAGCTAGGCGTACAGATCAACTACTTAGGATCTTTGATTCTTGAAGTCCGAATTTCGGTCTTCTGGAGCACGCGTAAAAACTGTGAGCAGTGTCCGCATTTTTTCCTGATATGGTGGCTTTGGTTTGGCCTTGGAGCATAGCTTGCTTCACAAAGCCCCCACGTTTGCGGAATTTCGTCGTTCCATAAGCTGTGGAGGGTGCTTGCTTCTTGTGCGTTTCAGAATTTGTCCTTGAGACTACCAAATAATTAGGAATAAAGCGTAAATGATCACAGTTTGTTCGCGTCTGAAGGAGCAACATCTTGGAACAGCGCGTTTGCGAAAGAAGCTTAAAGATAAGTTTGGCACGCTAGATACGTCAAGACGTACGGATGATTTGGCTCAAGCAAAAATCGTTTTCTACTTTCAGCATTGGGTCGGAAGCGTAAATAGCAGGAAGGATTACACATATAAGAAGTGTATAGAAGGATTAGACCGGACAAAATATTCTTATTTGCCCGTATTTTTTAAGCAAACTCGCATTTCTGGCTGTCCGGGCTGAAGGATGAAGGTCGTTTGTGAGAATTTACTTTAGTCATTCGTTCGAAAGTCCCACCTAAATGACAGTAATCTCTTTTTACCAATAATTGAGCATCAGAAAATAATATATGGTTACGAGGGCTGAGCAACAGCCTTCGTGTTGGTCACGCAGGTATCGTCCAGTTGCTTCCAAGTCCAACACCAGTATACTGACATTTGGTTTCCGCTCAACTATGTACTACATTTCCATTCTTGTCGCTCTTTTATTCAGATGACAGCATGAACCAAATTTTATCCAAGACCACAGACTTTGGAACCACCTGGATCCATATTATGGACAAAGTCGTTCGTGTATGGGCCCCCAGAGGTGTCCGGACCCAAACGTTACCTAAAGGGAACTCGCCTGAGCACCATAATCCAAGCTCATCATTCAGAAACACGGATCCGGAAGAACTGAGCACTAATTCCGGTGTGTTCCTGTATGTGGCACATTACAACGGCACAGAAAATCAAACTACGCAACTGAGTGTTTCGAAGGATGGAGGAAAGTCTTTTAAGCCGGTCTACCTACCAATGGTTCAATCCGAACGTGTAAGTCTAAAATATTCGATCAATTAGACAGGACCTGCTGGAGGTGGGCAACATGTCTCGTTGTCTTTACCCAACCATCATCGAGTTAAATGCTCTGAGCTCAACAGATTTCGACCGCGCAAAGTGTGGCGTGTTTTTGATTCACGGGATTCAGATACACGAAGCTTCCGGTCAGTAGCACGACTAATCGGGTCGGTTTTGTGATTTAGATCACCCGGTCCATATGATGAGGGGACCACATGGTCCTAACTAGTTTGCATGCTTTTTGTACGTGTTCTTAGCCGCCATCCTCCCAACTGGTATTTTAGATGACATCACAGATAACAGCTGGTTGACGAACTTCATCAGAGTAGAACCACCATCATAGAATTTTGCTCCATCCTAAACCGTTCTGAAAAGGCTATTTTTCTGAAACATACTAATTTGAAAATTACTTTAATGACGTCCATTGTGTGGACACACTATGTTGCGCCACCACATCACATACTAGGGTATAAAAGCTTTCCGAATGTGTGATACAATCATTTCAAGGAGCGAAACATTCTTAAACATTCCCTATTTAGGACCTAATCGGTTGGAATGGTGACAGTTGTGCAGATTCTCAGTGTTGTCCAGTATGACCCAATCATATCTTAAAGACTATGAGAACTTTGGTTATTTAAATACGATTAAAACTATTCCTAATCGTACACCTAAAAATCCGCGCGAACCACCCACTTACAAGTTGAGCCTCGTGGCCAGAAGTCCCGACAGTCATGCCTAAGGAGCAGTTTTGTGCTAGATGTACAAGTTTAATTCAGCAGCGAATACTACCGTCTACTACAGTCTAAACTTACCGAATAAACCCAAGGCTGCTCTTAGTCCTGCGCAAGCCGATATCCTTATGCCAATGGGAATACATCAAAAGCTTACCTGAGCCATGCGGATGACATGTTTTAAGTATGCGATGGGAACAGGGACAGAAGACAATTAATAGTGTCCAGTATCTTGATAGACTCTGAGTACTATCCACAGCTAGAAGATGAGTCGACATTCATAGACAGACAGATAGTAGAATACGAAGAATACAAAATACAGAGAGTCAAAATGGACGTTTCACTAATTTCTCCGTTTTCTTACCACTATCTAGTTTGCTGGTTGCTCAACAAAGCAACAGGAGTTTGGCAAAACATACAGTTATTAGTAATGACTTTGTGCTTCTCTAGGTGAAAAGCAGAGAACTCTAGTGGGTTTATATCCAAACTATGTCGTATTTTTATTATGTCTAATGACATGCTAATGTATCAAAGCCCTGTTTCTACTGAAATGTTCGATATCTCCATTAAGTATCGCAGGCAATATCTGACAATCTTTCACACCTCCTTCGGCTTGACTTTCGCTTATTTTCGTCCAAAAAGTGGGTTAATTTTGTACGTGCTTTCTCCATCCTCACATGAAAGAGATGCTGCTGTTCTTTCCACTGACCAATTCGGCGAATATCTCGCTCGATTTGCGTAACAGTTTACTTCTTGGACTATGATGGTATCTGAAGCTCACCAGTCGGTCATTTATTGCTGCGAAATTCCCCTATAACCTCTCCATCTTGTTGTACAGAAGTATCACAACTTACAGTGCTTCTAGCATAGAAAAAGAGGGGTCATGGTGAGGCTCTTATCATTACATTTACTTATTATAAACCACCACCTCTAACAAAGTACTTTCTGTAATAATAATACACAGCCACTTAGTAAAATCTCATACGGGCGAACTACTGGATTTCGTTGGAGTAGCTTGCCGCCTTAGGAAAGGACAGAAAACTCCTCTAACCAGAAGTCTCACAGCCGGCCAGCCTGCTTCATGGCTGGCCGATCTTACAATGATGTTGTTCGACCCTACCTCTATGGCTGATGTTTTCTACCTCAGCGAAGTTTCCTCCTTCACTGGCCTCGTCGCGTTGCAGATGCGACTCAAGAAGACAGCATGTGGTTCAGGCCCATGGTAGCGAGTGCTTGTTCCGGACTGCACAGCTCAAAGTGAAGTCAAGTTCAGATTCTGGCACCGGCTGGTAACCGCTTGCCTGAAACATCGGAGTAGTCCAGTTAATACCGCGCAAATATGTAGTCTGCTTTGGCTCGCTGGTGTGTCACACCGGATCACGCTGATAGATCACCGTGCACAGTGTCTAAGTCGCTTTTAGGTTGCGCTGAAGTGCATACGCGTCCAAACGAACGCCCTGCGCATGGTGTAAATATAAGGAATGAGGCGGATCAGAGTCCAGAGTCCTTACCATGTCCAAATGGTGACCTAAAACTACCATATAATGTCGGGACACCTAAATATTTGTGGAATGGTGGAACAACTACACAGACAACTATTTGGCTGTGGATCAGGTAAAATTGCACGATATTTGCTGAAAACTCCTCAGCAACCTTATGAGTAGTGTATTAAAAGTCTATAACCTTATGAGTAGTGTATTACAAAGTCTATATGTATCGCGATATTTCGAATGTCGTAGCGACTGAAACATGAGGCGGCCTTGTGCAGCACATTTAGTTGCCTGGAAACATCAAAACCGAGAGATTCAGCTGGGTTCCAGGTGAGTCTCTTGAAAAACCAAATTAGTTTGCAAATGAGTGTATATTCGCTAACCTCCGTCTATGTTTTTCCGGTTCTGTATACTCTGAAAGTAATATATACCCGTGACCTTTCTTGTGGGTTTCCTCTAATCAGATGTTATGTCTCGCTTTTGTCTTTTCAGTCCGATATTCTTTTCTTCGCCTCCAATAGCACTACACCTAATGAATCTTAAGTCATAGTTGCTAGCCCTCAGCACTTACTGGCTTTGTTCGGCGACGTTTTGGCTGTTCACATGTGGCTTTGTTTATACTGTTCTGGCACACTGGATGGAAGTGTGTTCCCCCTGCAAGACCATCCGCCGCACAGTTCAGCAAATTTACATTGCCAGGACGACGAACCATAACAAGGACAGACATTCAGCGTGACCAGTTGACCACATGACATTCGTCAGATTCGATTATCGAACAATGTCGACAGTGTCCGCAGCACCACTAATGCATGCAGGGTAGTGTGACAAATTAAACACCGTGTGACACGCAGATATAGGCTGAATTGGCCTAATTCTCTGATGCAGTGTTCCTAAACCTGGGGTTCACATATCCTCAAATGAACAAGTGATTGAATTCCAGATGCTCGAAAATATCTCTCAGCTTTTGACCTTATCGTATTAAGCAGTCCTGAAAATGTGAATGGCTGACAATTTAAACCGTTATCTGAAAACTGTTGTATTGGTTTTTCACGTTTTGTCCAAAAGATTTTTCGTTCGTTCCCGTCACCTCCAGTGTCACTCGCATTGGAGTACACCATGCTTTCATTTGTTTTATTAAAGGTACAAAAGTATCTCAACATCAAGGACTTACGAAAACTCATAATATACTCTTTATTGTCAGTACAAGGCCACTACATATGTGTAGTTATCATCCTGGAAATCAATTCATCCCTGCGATGTTTTCAAGCGATCACTGCTGCGTATTTTATGAAACTAAAAAGCTGCGTGATTCAAACTGAGGAGAAAAGTCTATTAAATATAATTCTAACTTCCAGAGGGTATGTATTCACGTTCATAATCCTCGGCATGTACTGACAGACAAGCCGCTCGAATGCAAAAAATTAAGATCAAATTAATGATACACAAAAGAGCCTAGTGTAGCACAACAAAGGGAGATTAGGTTCTTATCTGAACGTTTTGTTCGTTACTCATTTTCTCTGGAGAACCAGTAAGAGAAAATACCATCGGGGAACGGGATCGAGAATTATGTGATTTCTCCGATTGCGCCATCCCATAATGAAGTAACTCCTTTTCTAACAATCGAAGAGAAGGCAGTTTCTTTTTCCCTAAATATGAGATCTGTTCCGTAAAGGGGAGGTATGACGATGGAAATGCCCATAGCAATAAGGTGGATTCGTTGGTTGACCTACTTTTAGAATTTTGTGCCGTCAACACACCTGATACACCGATCCGTCACACAGGCGAGCGTTTGTTTGATTGTAGGAAGATACGATGGTGATGTGAATGCCTGGCTGACTGACCGACTGATTGACCGATTGATTGATGATTGATTGCCGACTGATTGACCGATTGATTGATTGATTGATTGATTGACTGATTGATTAGTTGATTGATTGAAACATTTGGAGATCTTCATGATTTTGTAAGCCCGGATATGTAAGAAAACCTATTGAATAGTACTCGTTCAGCTGTAGCACTTCCCAACTGCAATGTGACCTGAAGGGAATGCGATAGCTGAAATGTCACCGGGTTGATCAAGCCTAGACGGAAGTAGTCGGGAAAATTTTTCAGATTTATCACCTGTTTAAGTTATGATTTACGAGATGGAACCGATGACCAAAATAGAGCTTCACCCTATTCCGTTAGTATGCGTTATTCTAGGACATGTGAGACAACAGGGTGACCGGAGCAACCACCCCAAATGAGGAGTGAAGAATTCTGTCTCACCCCTTATACATACTGTCAAAAAGCACCCGGTTAAAGGTGAAATCACATTAGTTGATTGCGGAAGGTATGAGATACGATTCTCATCGGCTATCCGCCCACCCCACATGGGGATATCGAGGGAATACTGTGGGATTTATCGAAACTGTTTCTCAAGAACGACAGCGAAAAGAAACCTATGGGCCAATCAACAGGTAGGTGGCCAAAGTAGATGAATAAACAGCACCTAAAATGAAATCATCCCAGTTTAGAACTGATGTGGTCTGGCAGTGTCTGAGCTGAACGAGCCCTATGTAACCATGATAGAACTTGATCGGTGTTCGGCAATCTGCTGTCAGAAAAGGCCTTGCATCTAACCTGACTATGTAAGCATGGACTAAGAGGATTGACATTGACTACTGACGCCTTGTGCAAGCCTCATCCTCCGCAAACAAGGCAAAATACTATCAATACTCTTCGCCAAATGCAATCATTTGCAAACATATTCGGTTTCGACAGAGACTTCAACTCAATCCCAGCTAAGTCTCTTATTTGTGATATTGTGCAAATGAATGTGCGGCACGAATATCACCTCATTTTTCGGTCGATGCGAGTGTACTTCGTGAATCCTTACGACTTGGGTTCGAGCAGAATTCTCTGGAGAACCAGTAAGAGAAAATACCATCGGGGAACGGGATCGAGAATTATGTGATTTCTCCGATTGCGCCATCCCATAATGAAGTAACTCCTTTTCTAACAATCGAAGAGAAGGCAGTTTCTTTTTCCCTAAATATGAGATCTGTTCCGTAAAGGGGAGGTATGACGATGGAAATGCCCATAGCAATAAGGTGGATTCGTTGGTTGACCTACTTTTAGAATTTTGTGCCGTCAACACACCTGATACACCGATCCGTCACACAGGCGAGCGTTTGTTTGATTGTAGGAAGATACGATGGTGATGTGAATGCCTGGCTGACTGACCGACTGATTGACCGATTGATTGATTGATTGATTGATTGACTGATTGATGAGTTGATTGATTGAAACATTTGGAGATCTTCATGATTTTGTAAGCCCGGATATGTAAGAAAACCTATTGAATAGTACTCGTTCAGCTGTAGCACTTCCCAACTGCAATGTGACCTGAAGGGAATGCGATAGCTGAAATGTCACCGGGTTGATCAAGCCTAGACGGAAGTAGTCGGGAAAATTTTTCAGATTTATCACCTGTTTAAGTTATGATTTACGAGATGGAACCGATGACCAAAATAGAGCTTCACCCTATTCCGTTAGTATGCGTTATTCTAGGACATGTGAGACAACAGGGTGACCGGAGCAACCACCCCAAATGAGGAGTGAAGAATTCTGTCTCACCCCTTATACATACTGTCAAAAAGCACCCGGTTAAAGGTGAAATCACATTAGTTGATTGCGGAAGGTATGAGATACGATTCTCATCGGCTATCCGCCCACCCCACATGGGGATATCGAGGGAATACTGTGGGATTTATCGAAACTGTTTCTCAAGAACGACAGCGAAAAGAAACCCATGGGCCAATCAACAGGTAGGTGGCCAAAGTAGATGAATAAACAGCACCTAAAATGAAATCATCCCAGTTTAGAACTGATGTGGTCTGGCAGTGTCTGAGCTGAACGAGCCCTATGTAACCATAATAGAACTTGATCGGTGTTCGGCAATCTGCTGTCAGAAAAGGCCTTGCATCTAACCTGACTATGTAAGCATGGACTAAGAGGATTGACATTGACTACTGACGCCTTGTGCAAGCCTCATCCTCCGCAAACAAGGCAAAATACTATCAATACTCTTCGCCAAATGCAATCATTTGCAAACATATTCGGTTTCGACAGAGACTTCAACTCAATCCCAGCTAAGTCTCTTATTTGTGATATTGTGCAAATGAATGTGCGGCACGAATATCACCTCATTTTTCGGTCGATGCGAGTGTACTTCGTGAATCCTTACGACTTGGGTTCGAGCAGAATATAAGTTTGACGAAAACTCGGGGATTGCGCCTTCCTGGTGAGCCACGGGAATACGGAAACTGGTCTTGCACTGTCGAAGACTTTTCGGCAACCTTATGGGTTGTCTTCCGACAAGTAGTACTTTAATCGGAAATTTTTAGGGGGTTCGCAGCGTGAACCTGGAAGTAAATCCCAGGAGTTGGAATCATCATCATCATCATCGACAGCATGGCATCAGTGTTCAACACCGATGCTTTACAGCCGTACAACCATGACTTATTTGAAAGCCTTATTGTAAAGAGAAGAATAAAGGTGGACGGGGAAGGGACTTAGTGCTAGCTTAACACAATCATTCCGAGGTGCCTACACCTCCAGACATTCACTCAGGCAATCTGGATAGAAACTGATAACAAGAACGCCACTGACATTGGTTGGCAGCCATATCTTGTAGTGTCTTCAACCAGGCACAGTGAGGA